CGTTTGCTGGGAATGTAGAGTTTTATTTTAACTAATTCATTATTTTGAGATGGAGTCTCCCTATGTTGCCTAGGCTGGCCTCCAACTTGTGTGCTCAAGTGATCCTCCAACCTCAGCTCTTGAGTAGCTGGGACTACAGGTGTGAAACACTGCACCCAGCTTTGTATGTGGAGTTTTAAATCCCAAAAGTATTTAAAGGATTTGGGTTGTTGTGGGACTTAACTTGATATACCTTCAGCTGCCTTTGCTTATAGAAAAAAAAAATGGCTTATAGTCTTCCTATTGAAATTCACATTTGAGAAATTCCAGGATGGGCACCCAATTGGCCTGAGCCTTGATATTAATTTATTTACTTGTGGTCAGATTCCAGGAATCCATTTGTTTGGCAAAGTGCCAAGAATTCAGAGAAGTCATGATAAGCATTTGCTATTGGCTGTTTTGGAGTGGTAACAGCCAAATGCTTTGTCTTGTACACACTGCTTGTGATGGAGGTGTTTCTCCCCATAACAACTGTTAACTTCAGTATGACAACATTCATTTATTTATTCATTTGCTCAACAGTTAGCTTCAAATGCCTACTGTATGCTAAGGATGCAGAGATAGAAATCAACACTAGTCCCTGCCCTCCAGTTGCTGCCAATCAAAAGGAGAAGACAGACTAGCTGTACTGCAGTATGAATACTATGATAGGGATCCACATAAAGCACCAACCAAGCTGGGTGTGGTGGTGTGCAACTGTAATCCTATCACTCAGGAGGCTGAAGCAGGGGAATCCAAATTTTGAGGCCAGCCTGGGCTACATAGTGAGATCTTGTCTCAAAAAAAAAAAAAAAAGAACGAAAGAAAAGAAAAGATATATATATATATATATATATAAACCCATCCAGTAGGGTTTATATAACTGTTCCTTTGACCAACATTTTATTCAGTCTTTGTTACTGAATAATAATAATATTTAATTACTTGTATTTGCAACTAGAACATGAAAGAATGACATGTCTTTTCAAACTGCCTGATAAATCAGCATTCAATTTTTTATTTTTGTATGAATTTTTAATTCCCATTGTAATCATAAATGCAGTTAACACAAAATTGCAATGACCAGTAAGGATATAGACATATCTTAAAATGACAGTTACTTACATTAATTGATTCTTATACGAATTCAGTTTAGCAATAATACTTATTTAATCCAGTGGCAGGTTTTTGTTTTTGTTTTTTGAGACAGAGTCTCTATGTAGCCCAGGCTGGCCTTGTCTTCCTGCCTCAGCCTCCTGAATGCTAGGATTACAGGGCTAGCAGTGGAGTTTTTAGTTCATCATTGTGTTTCAGTTTCGCCTTCCTTCAACCTTTCAGTCTTATTGGTTAGTTATTTTTCACTAGTTCTAAAGGATTTTTTTTAATGATTTTTTTTTGAAACTTCCTGTGAAAACCTTATACACAGTAGACGTTACAGTTCTATATAATTAGAGATGCTAAACTGGGAGTTCTTAAGCAGCCAAAATTTCCCAGAAGCCAATGGATGGATATCTTGAACATTAGACCTATTCTTAAAACCAAGTCAGTTAGATTAAGGGGATAGTCAGTTAGATTAAGGGGATCAAAATATCACCTACTCAAAAATCTAAATGACCACATTTCACTTGTAATCCCAGAGTGAGGTTTTGCATATCCGTTTTGAATAACTTCAGTAAAGTAAAGTGAT